TTTTAATAAATAATTTTGTGATGAACTTTTAATGAATTTTTGTTGAATAGTTATTGAATTTTTGACGAATTTTTTGTGAAACTTTTAATTAATAAATTTTTGATTGCCAAATTTTTTGATTGTCTAATTTTTTATTGCTGAATTTTTAATTGCCAAGTTTTTGATTGCTGAATTTTTGATTGCTACTTTATTGCCAAAATGTAATATGCTGAGTGGCAGCAATCGAAAAGAATTTGGTAATATTTTTATTATTAAATTTAATCAAATTTGACAATAATTTAGCTGCCGAATGACATTTTGACTAGTGAGGTTAGCCAGATAAAATATTTAGGATAGGCAAAAGGTAAAAATGTGAAAAGTCAATATATAATAAAGACAAAAAAAAATAAAATATATAAAGTTTCCTATTTAAATATAAGAAATCCATAAGAAGAACTTATCAGTTAAATATTTTAGGTTCTAAAATAGTTTTAGAAGAAACAATAGAAAAAACAATCCAAGATGACTATAAATTCAATTCGAACAGTAGAATAAGTCAAGTAAATATAAAGAATTAGAAAGAGCAGATCATCAAAGGTAATGTAAAAGAAGAAGTATATCAAGATTACCCAACTGAAATATTTTAATATAATTAATAATTTAAAGAAATATTGATCTTTTACTCTGATAGATCTCTTATTAATTATGGAAAAAAAAAATGAAGATGAAAATAACATGAATGCAAATAGGAAGAGGGAATAGAGAAAGTAAGTTCCAAATAGAAATAAGTGATTGATCATTATTTATTAGAGTAGAATTAGTAGTAATAGTCATAATATTACTGGTTGTTTTGCAAATAATAAGATCAAGATTTTTATAAACAATAAGTCTGTATTGCTAAGCAAAAGATAATAGAGAAAGAGAATTTCAGAAAAAATTATAAAAGATGGTTGAAAAAAAAAAATTGGTTCCTGTGAGCAATAATATTGGATATTATTAAAAAAAAATAGTTGAATCTGGAACTGATCAATATTAAAGTGTATTCTAATGATCTATACAATTAGGAAATAGAAACTTTAGCAAAAAAAGTTTCTATAATCAAATAGAAAAACCTTACTTTATTCAAAATTATCATTGAAATCAAGTGGTATGAAATGACTTTAGATAATCTTATAAAACAGTTATTAAAAATATGAATAATAAAGTTACAGCTTATTAATAGATAAAACAAATCAGGTTTTCAAATAAATAAAACTAATATATTTGAGATTAATATGATTATATATGGGATTTGATATAAGAAAAGATGAAAAATGGGTATACTTAGAATATCTCCTTTAAAGGTTTTTAAGAAAAAAGCTTTCTTATCAAAATTAATCAATGAAGAGTTATCACCACTTCCTAAACTGGCTATAAGTAGACCAGATTTATATAAACAAGTAGGGTATATTGCATATAAATAGCAAGCTGAAACAATAAAATATCTACTAAAATACTTAGCATATAAAGTCCAATGGCAAGAAATATAAAATAAAGAAATTAAAAATATTTTAAAGAACTTTTGAAAACTTTTGTATAATAAAAAAAATAAGATAAAAAGAAAAAAATATGACTTCTGATTAAAGATAGAGTGGAATTAAGAAAATTGAACAAACATATAGCCAAGCTTATAGAAGAGATTGCAAAAACAAGACAAAATATGTTAAACTTTTGCAAAGGACTAATATAAAGTGATCAGATATTAAAACTATCAAACTTAAAATATTATCAGAAAAGAATAGATAAAGAAGTTCAAAAGTGAATAATAAAGATACAAAAGAAGTTTTATAATTAATTTCAAAAGAAAATTTGAAATGAATGATGTTTAAGAATAATTGAATAGGAATAAGTACAAGTAATTCATATAGAAGGCAAAATAAGAAGATTAATTAGTCCTTTAAATCAGAATAACAAGACTACAATTACAAAAAGGTCATTATAAGAAGAAGAAAAATTAGAAGATGGGGATTTAAAACAAACTTTTTTAAAAAGAGTAAAGTATGAAATAAGATGGTTAGGATTTTAACTTCTATTAGAATTCATAAAAAGAATTATATATATATATTTTTTTGAAATAGTGATTTAGCCTTGTCTTATTAAAGTTTCAAGTAAGAACAAAATGCAAATTCAAGAAATAATTACTAATAAAACACTCTTAAAATTGTCTATAAGAATTAAAATTTTATACTATAATTATCACTTTAATTTTGTAAGCTGGTTACTCTTTGAAGGCTTTATCAGTCGAGAGCATATTACCTGTTCCTTAATTGCTTTCAGTATATCCATGTTGTAAAATTCTAACTGCTCCAATCTATGGAATAGCTTGTTGTCAGAGAGAATTACTTGAATCAATCTTATTCACGTACCAGGAAAGAAGATTTATCAATCCTTCTAGATTTTTCTTAACGTATATGCTTAGGTAAGATTTATTATCCCCCAAAAAAATTTTGATCATCTATATTTCACTTACTATAAAACTCAACTTTATTATAGTAACTTTGTTTCGAATCTTTACCTATTTATAGAGCTGAAGAAAATACCTATTTAGTGGCTAGGAGTAGATGACTATAACTATAAAATTCAGTTATAATATCTTGTAACCTTTATTATAGTTGGATAGACTTTTTTTTGAAGGAATCAATGATGTAATGAGAAGGTGTCCTATATCCATTTGCATCAGATTCAATGATTTATAGTGGATCTCGAGTTTTTATAAAGTTGAAAAAATATATTCAGACATGTAAGGTGACCAATAGAAGCTTGTTTATATTATTTTACTAATGTGTGCTCTATCTGTTCAATTATGATGTAAGAAACTTTGTGCTAACTCAAAATTTAGAGTTAAATTAAGATAGGTAAAATTCTTTAGAAAAAACTAAAAATGAGTACTATGAGAAATAAACAAATAATAAGAGAGTAGAAAAGTTGTTTCTTATCATTAAACATGTTTTTGTGATGTTTTTCTATAGTGTAAAATAACAGCATATTAGTTCTTCTTTCTTTCAGAATTTTCTTGTCATTGGTAGAAAAGATTTTTCTTGACCTTTATGGTCACTAGAGGTTAAGTTTTTGTTTGAAAAGGATAGTAAACAAGGGAAAAAAAAGTAGTTAATAATTCTTGAAGCTTCTTCAAGTTGATTTAAGGAAAATAGTAAGACTTTATTAACTTCAAAGTATAAAAATTTCTTGTAAATGGTTTTTTTTTGTATGTGGTCAAAGGATCTGTAGAAAAAGTGATTTATATATGAAAGAGAATCATATGTATAGTATATTAATGTTTAATAAAACATATACTGTATAGTTAACTTGATAGAAAATAAATAAAAAAAAAAAAACCATTAATAATAAATCTAATAAATAGAAATTTATATTTATTCTTTATAAGAATGAAATATTGTTTTCTAAATCTAACTTAAAATAATTTGATACAATAATAAATTAGTTATTATATAAAAAATCTATAATATTATAGATAATTATATAAACTTTTCAATAAAGATTAAACGATATGATTATAAGTTAAAAAAAAAAATTAAAGTTTTTTTTCAAGACTTTTCTAAATTAGATAAAATATAAATTTAACATACGAATTTTCTGAAAAAATAACTTCATCAAGCTACTGTAAATTAATTATTCACGATAAATCCAATTTATTAAATGTTTAATTAGTAGATAGAAATTTAATTTCACAAATAGCTTGGGATTCTAAGTATCTAATCTCCTACTATTATAAAATTTAATATTTGACAATAAAATATTTCGTGTGACCACGCACGGGAATATTCCCTTGCGAATACTTGTTTTCCCTTCGTTCTCTCTTGATTTTCTTCTGGTAAAAAATAATTGATGCATAGAATCATCTACAGTATAAATAACCATTAGCTCTGCGTAAGCGCCCACCTGCGCGTTGTTTCAAGTACGCCCATGTGCGTTGTACTGCTAGTGTATTTCTGGATGACCAATTATAGTAGGATTTACGGATATTATATACGCGGAAGATATAAAGAATATCATGAATATAAGATATTCTTCAAGTAAAAATTTTACTAATAGATTTCAATTAAATGCAGGTTTATTACGATAAAGGAATTTTGTTACTATATTTTATAATAAATAAATCCGTTGCTTTTTATATTCTTTTTTGATATGCCCGTAGCCAGGCTAGATGTTAGTTTATTAATCAAATGAATACATAAGTACATTTTCATTCGAGCAGCATGATATATACTACATCCAAACTTTTTCCAATCAAATCTAACTAACTCGTCGTAAGCAATAAAAGCCTCTAAGTTTGGCCTCGGGACAATATTTCGCTCCGTAATGGACTATAATATTATTTCATTTAAAAATATTTATGAATATAAGGCAAAGATTTGAGTGTTACACGAAATGTTGATCAAAATGGCCATGTGCTATCACGCCCTACCTATTGCTATTTTTAACTTATCCTTATGTGTCGCGGTTACAAGATCTTCACCTATAGCCGCATCAATAACTGATACACAGTGGATACCGCATGAATGTCTCTTTTTACGCATGCTTGTTCTTTTCGGATCAGTTTTCCATGTAATGAAAACCGCTTGTCTTATTCTAACGCCAAAGAATATTAATTAAATTCGCAATATCTTCGTATAATACAAAATTATTCTTTTTTATTTGATACAATATATATATTATGGAAACAATAAATTACAACAAAGAATTCTCTAAAAATAGTCAAATGTTCGAGTATTAAAAGATTCTACTGTATAATTAGTTGGCAAATGCATAATAATCTGGCATAAGCTTATGTGTTGTGATTTCTTAATGTTTCGGGTTGATTTCAAATGTTTAAATTTTCGAAGAAATATACATAGTCTTTAAATATACATAATTTATTTTACAGTTGATTTTTTTAATTCAACATCTTCACTTTTCCTCAATATAAGAGCTCACCACACTATAATTTCCATCTTCATAATTGTCTTTACTATTGATAATAGCACGGATATCCATGCGATTGATTTTGGGTGTCTTTTCTGATCTTTTGCTATTAACTGTACGATCAGGGAACAGTTTAGTTCCCAATTGGTTTGAAAAAGAAACCAATTCGTCGGTATCCATTCTGGAAAAATCGGCAATTCCAGACCTGAACACCGTGAATGGAGCAAAGAATGATTTCTTATTCTCGTAATTTGAGAAAGATGTGACTTTAACTGTTTTTCCAATATTTTCGACCAACTCTTCTATGCGATTAATTCGGACACTTAAACAGTCAACGTAGTAGTCATTGTTTAGAGTACAAATATTACAACGATTGTTACGAGATCTGATTCCACCGCGAGAGGTGACGGAAGAAAAATGTTGAATTGATGACTGACGAGAACGTAGAATGTGTCTTCTTCCGATATTGTCAAGGATTTCTTCTCCGATAGCTCCACCATTCGGATTCCGGGTGGCGTTGACTGAAGATCCGCATTTAGACTGCTCATTTTTGAAAATAATTTTTGGATACATTTTAATGTAAGAGGCTTTTTTATCTATTGTAGGAGGTTGAAGAAATTCTGCTTGGATTTTGAATAAGCATGGCTAAGGAACTGTGGCTTTATATAATTGAAGTTTGGGGCTGATGGCTAATTTTCGTACCGATTAATCAGTAAATTTCAGAAACCATGTAAAAATTTTGCCGTGCATGTACCATAAATCTTGGCTAAATATATTTATAGCTTAACAATGCAGGCTCAGCTTCCTGCCAAGTATTTGTGTAAATTTCCATTCTAGAAAGTTGCATTATTCAACGTTTTATCCGTGTCACAGAAAATTCTTTTGACATCCCACATAAATATAATGTGGCGGATGACTGCCAAGATGGTTTTGTGTTTACGATACCTTATGTTTTTCTTGACCAGATAACCGGTGACTCATTATAACTTTAGATTTACTCCTGATCATTGAATACGGACAATTATTTTTGAAGGTGATCAAAATACTAAATAGGTTTCAATACATATATAAGGAAAACTTTAGGATCACAATTACAGGGTCCTGTCCGCCTTCGACCATATAATCTCATAGCCTCAAACTTTATTAAAGAAATCGAATTTGTAATTCAATCAATGGCTTGCTCTTATCTCTGAACGTGTGGCTAGTTAAACTTTTTTGGATACTTAATTCGGGCTTTAGGTTTTCAAGCTAAACTATTTTTATTAGCTTTACAATATCCAAAAAAACGTGACTTTGTTGGTGAAAAAGAGTTACTTAAGATCAGCAATTATTATCAAAAAAAAAAAAACGACGAAAATTTTTTACGTAGTTTTAGTTATTAAAATAAGGTTAAATAAATATTATAAACACATTATAGCATTATATAGTATTTGGTAGTCTATTGTTTTAATGAAAACATTAATTTGTATAAATTTTAAATTAAAAAATTATTGCATTTTAATATAAACTAATTCTATCAATAAGATAAATCTATACTTAGTATATTAAGTATATCAGGTGTAATGAATATATTGAGTATATTATATACAGTTAGAAACAAGAATTATTTGTCCATTTATTTTTTATTATAACATACTGTAATAAATAATTATTTAATCAAAATAAAGTTTTTACAATATATAAAAAAATATTTAATAATAATTAATTAATTTTGTTTCAAAAAATTGATTTAAGGTTCAAAAAAATTTTTTATAGATTTATATATGATATAAAAGTAATTGGAAAACAAAACTTTTACTATAATAAAACATGTATAAAAAAAAAGATAATTAAAAATTAAAAAAATAATTTTTTTAATATATAAAAGAATTGTTAAAATTCTTAATAGTATAATAATACTTTCTAATATAATTTATTTATTTTATAAATAATAAAAATTTTATAAAAAAAATATAAGAAATGGAATAAGTATTAATATATAATAAATATAAATTTCATAATTTTCATTGTATAATTAATGAATTAAAAATTATCAAAATTAAAATTTATAATAAAAATATAGTAAATAAACTTAAATTTTTGAAAACAAATATATTTTTATTAATATAATAAATAAGTTTACTTAAGAAAAATTTTAAATTTTAATAATTTTATTTATAAAATTTTCATTAAAAATAAAAAAACTTTATAAATAATTAATTTTAAAACATTATAAAAATTAAATAATTAAATAATAAAAATATTTTTTTAATATATTATATAAAATCATTAAAAATTTTTTTTAATAATTTTCTTGAAAAAAGTGAATTAATCTAAATATATAAGAAAAAATAATATATTTTTTAAACCAAACCATTAAATATTTACAATATATATAACAAACTATTTAAAAATATTAAGAATAGAAATATATATTATTATATTAACTTTTTTATTTCTTTTTTTTTAAAAATTTTAAAAGAAAAAAAAATAAAATAAAACTAATTTAAAGTTAGAAAAAGAAAGTCAATATCAACTTTGCATAGCTTATAATTAAATTAATGTAAATTAATACCTTTTTTGATATTGCAAAAAACCTAAAAAGCAACTAAACTCATTTGATAAAATAAGTTACTTTTATTAACTCTAGATCCAAAATTATATCAAAATTTCTTAAAAATAAGATAGTCTAAATATATATATATATATAACTAATATTCTTATTCTAAATCTTGTCATATAAACATAAATAAATATATATATAAATAAACAAGTAATACAAGTATTTATATATATAACTTATTGTTACAACAAATTGATCGACTTTTTAAAAACTCTTTTCACTGATCCTCTGATCATATACAAAAAAGATGTTTATAAGAAATTTTATACTTCTTTATTAATAAAGTTTTTATATTTTTATTAAAACAACTTAAAACTTGTCTTCATGTATCTTTTCTATTCTCCCTTACTTATTTATAAACTTCTTTAAATAAAAACTTGAGCCTCTAGTGGTCTAAAAAGACTCAAGCACATACTTCCTTTATTAAAGGCAAAAAAATTCTAGGAAGTAAAAGGACTGACAAGTAGAGTGTCAACTTACAAAGCTAAAAATAATAAAAAATAGAGGTTTTGTTGGCAGGAAAAGATTTATTATCCACTTTCTTACATACTGTCTTGTACTTTCTTAAAGTGTTTACTGTTTTTCACAGTTTTCTTGAGGAATTTTGTCTATCTCAGTTTGACCTTGAATTTCTAATAGCACAATATCACTTGATATCTGATTAGTTGATATAAAATACATTAGTAACTAAATATAAACAAGTATCTATTGATCACCTCATATATTCTGATAATGTTATTGATAATAGAAAAAGTTAATTAGTGCCTCATGTCCACCCACTTCTCCAATTGGATTAACCTACAGATCAAGTTTCATGAATCCAATAAAATATGAGCAACAAGTCCCTAGGTGATAAAAAAACTGCTATTCATTTAAGCTAAGGTCTTTCTTTCCTATCATCCCAGTCAAGCAAAATTCAAGATCAAGGTTTCTTTTTTATCCCGGTCAGGTAATAAGATCGAACGGTCTCTAGTCCATACTAAGCTTCAACCCTTTGGTTATAGTTAAGAATACATTTTCCTAGAAGTTGTTGAAGGATATTACAATCGACAAGAATCCCTATCACTCTTGAGACTCTTCTACCATTACAAGACAAAAAGATTATTGAGAAATCTAGTCTTTTGAATAATAGAAGATGTATACCAGTAAAATTTCTTTAATTAGGTGTAGCTACTGAAAGATATTATACTAAAATAACATAACCTAGTTCTTACTAGGTTACATAAGAACCTGAAATCTATCATAAGTCATCTTTCTATCGTAGATGAATAAAAAATTATTGCACAAGAAGATTGGAACCAAATGTGTCCTAAAAGTAAAGGCTCCCACTAGATGATAAGTCTTCTCAGAGGATACACAAGAAGAAAATCAAGATTAAGAATGGATAAGTTTCTCAGACAGTTAGGAAAAAAAAGGATATTCTAATCGGGCATTTCTTATTGAGAAAAGGTCTTGATAAGTAGGTCTTTGAAAGAAGCTGAAAATATTTTTTTTCAATTTTTACTTTTTCATTTTCTTGTTGTCCACTTAAACATTTTTAGATATTCTCTATTTTTTTTTCAACCTATCCTTTTGTAGTTTTCTATATTCTAACAGCTTGAATCAACATATGACAGTAACAACCTACTGGCAATGATGCAATGGATTAAAAGGATTTTCATCCAAAAATATTACAGAGTAAAATATTATTCTTAAGGATGAACTTAGAGGCTTTTATACTTATAATAAGTTAGTTAGATTAGAATAATAGTTTAATTGTAATATATATTATGCTACTCAAATAAAAATATACTTATATTTTCAATTGATTAATAAACAAACAATCTAGCCTATCTATGGATACATAAAAAAAAAAAACAAAGTTGATCGACTTTTTATATAAATATAATAGTAACTTTTTAAATTAAAATAAGATTATTAATATAAATAAATAAATATATTCAAATAACAAAACAAGATTTTTTTATATTATTAAAACAAATATATATTAACAATAAATAATACTAGATAGATTTATTTGTATCTTAAATATAGATTACTGATAAACAAATAAACAAAAAGATATATATATATATATTTTTAATGCCAGCTCAGCCTTGACTATATTGGATATAGTTTTTAAATATAAATATAGTACATATTAAAAATATAATTTTAAATCTGTAAAGCTAATAACAGGACTATACTGGTTATCCTCGAGCATATTGCTATCTCTAAAGTGAGAACTAGCAAGAAACCACTAGTGCTAGAAAAAAATTTTTAAGAGGAAGGAAGAAAGAAAGTTGGAGAATAAAAGAGTGGATGAGGTGATTAATCCATATATACAATTCCTTGCTATGCAACTTATACAGGAGGAAAAAAATTTTGTTTAAAGTATTTATTAAAACTTCTCAAATAGTGCCAAATATCCATTTATATATAGTATAATAGTGGAAATACCAGTGTGTAGTTTGATTATATTTTAGATCCCCTAATAATTCTTGCACAATATTAGTTATGTTTTAGATATTTTTATCTAAGTTCTTGAAAAATATAGGAATCTTAGCCATTGTCTTTGATAATTAATTTGTGCTTTCTTGCAAAAGTTCTTAAAAAATTAGTATGAAGCATATATGAAAGTAAGATATTAATGTTCAATAGAAAGGGAGAAAATCTTTAAAATAAACTATTGAATCACTTACTCAAGAAGTATTGAAAAAGAAGAGGTAGGTTCAATCTCATTTAGAAATAAGAAGAGATTGGAAATAGGGATGTATATATTGATATCAGTAGATTAATTCACAAACTATTTTCTTTAATTCTTGTCATTATATAACAGTGTAGTAAAAGTTGCTATTCATACACTCTGTGATCAAATTTATATTTGACCGGTGTGTCCAAGTGGAATTGCTTTTAAAAGAACAATTCCCAAAGAAAGAATTAAAGAAATGGTTTATAATAAAGAAA